ATCTTTAATATGTATCAATTTTCCTATGAATGACTCTAATTTCTCATTCTTTATGGCTGAGTAGTATTCCATTTTATAGAAAAACCACATCTTCTTTATCCAGTTTCCAACTGATGGGCAAATTGGCTGTTTCCAAGTTTTAGCTATTACAAACTGTGCCGCTATAAACATGGGTGAGCATATATCACTGTGGTATGATTCTTTTAATTCTTTTGGAAAGATACCCAGCAGAGGGATGGCTCGTTGAAATGGAACCTCTAGTTGCAGCTCTTTGAGATATCTCCATTTTGATTTCCATAGTGGTGGCACCAGTCTGCACTCCCACCAACAATGGAGAAGGGTTCCTTTCTCCCTGCAACCCTTACAACATTTGTTATTCAGCCATTCTTTGTGGGGTGAGGTGAAATCTCAGTGCTGTTTTCATCTGCATCTCTGGAATGACCAGTGATGTGGAACATTTCATCATATATTTACTTGCTGATTTTACTTCTTTGTCTGAGAAATGTCTGTTCATTTCAGATGCCCATTTTTGAATCGGGTCTTTTTATTTGGGGTGGCTGATTATTTTGGGTTCTTTATATATTCTCTATAGTAGTCCTTTGTCTGAGGAGCAGCTGGTAAAAACTTTTTCCCACACTGTAGGTTGCCTCTTTGTTCTGTTGATGGTTTCTTTTGCAGTACAGAAGCTTTTTAATAAGATGAGATCCCACTTGTTGATTCTTTGTGCAAGTTCCTGTGCTACTGAGAATTTGTTTATAAAGTCTTTTCCTATGCCAATGTCTTGAAGAGTTCTGCCTAACTTATCTTGCAGCAAATTTAGTGTTTCTGTTTTAATGTTTAGATCCTTAATCCACTTGGATTTTAATTTAGCACATGGTGAAGATTTAGAAAAAGCATTTAATAAAATTAATCACTCACTTTTGACTAAAGAGTCAAAACTTGATTTACCTGGCAGGGGAGATGCCATAATCATGATGGTGGTTTCCCCAGGGTGTGCTCATCTATTGTGCTCCAGATGTGCTGACTCCCATATGTTTCCCAAACGTGGGAAACTTTACTGTATAATTTATGGTAGTAGGGGATTGTGTTCAGAAAAATTTAAAAAACTCTGCAACAGAACTTAGAACTAACAGTATACTTAATGGTGAAAGGGAAAATGCTTTGTCCTTATTCTACGAAAAAGATATCCACTTTCACTATTCCTGTTCATTACAGCACTGGATATTCTAATCAAGAAAAAGAAATGAAAGTCATACAGATTCAAAGGGAAAAAAATACAGCTTCCCAATTTGTAGACAAAGTAGGAAATTCCAAAGTATTTCATAAAAACATGCCAAATAAAATAGAAAAAATTAATAAAACATGTACAAAATGCATGATGAAAATTACCAAATGCTGATTAAAGAAATCAAAGTAGACATAAGTGGAAATATACTATGTTCATGAATTGGAAGTATCAACATAGTAGTTATACTAGGGTTTGTAAATATGTTTTCATTACAGAGAGTATATGTCTTCTTTTTATAATCAGACAATGATGGGGTATTCTAAAACAAACCTTGTTTAAACTTTTTTTTCGAGTTTATTGGTACATTTTTGGTATACAGTACAGTTACATTCATTATTGAGATCTTTTACCTTTACATGACAGGTCTTGGTTCTCATTTTTTCCCCTTATCCCTGTCTTCCCTTTGCCCCCTCCTCCCCTCCCTATTTACAAATACTTTATTTCCATTTTTTCATTTTTCATACTTTTTTCTTTTCCCTTATTACCGTTTCCCTGCCCTTCCCACTTTCCCCACACCTTTAGCCCTTTTCTTCCTATTTTACATTGTCAGTTATATCATTAAGATCTTATGGACTATTATAGGTTCTCACACCATCTTGTTTAAACTCTTAAAAAATGTCACTGGTACAAAGATTTTTAAAAAGGCTAAGGAGTATTTCTGTATCTTAAATATGTACCCCACCGTGGTTGGAACGCAGGTCTGCTTATATGCTAGGGAAGTGTTCTACCACTGAGCTACAAATCCAACCCAGTATTTTACAGCTTAAAGGACAGAACAGGAATTTGACAATCAAATGCAAGATGTAAATATTTATTGTATCCTGGATTAAAAAGAGCTGGGTGTGATGGGGCATGTCTGCAATCCCAGCACTCTGGGAGGCCAGGCCTGAGGACTCAAAGTTCACAAAAAGCCTGGGCAATTTAGTGACTTAGTGAGATCTTGTCTCAGAATACAAATTAAAAAGGCTGAGGGTGCAGTTCAATGCAAAGGCCTTGGGTTCTATCCTCAATATCAAAAAATGAAACAAATAAATATCCTTTGAATGTGTCTTGTGCCCCAAGAGTTCACAAGTTGGTTCCTGAGGCTAAAAGAAGGTGGAAAGACCTTTTAGGGGTAGAGTCTAGTGGAAGATCAATGGGGGCTTTGCAGTCTCATGAGAGTGAACTGCTACAGAGTGAACCTGGACCATCTTCTTGTTCCAGCATCTTACCTTCCATGTAATTCCTCTCCCCCCCTTAAGTACTCTTGGCATTGTGATGCTATCAACCACAATGTGATACAGCCAAGGGGATTCTGGCAAGAACCAGCCCCATCACCAAACTGAAAACTGCAAGATAAACTTTTAAAAAAAGAAAGTATCCAATCTCAGGTATTTTCTTATAGTAGTGAAAACTGATGAATTTTAAGTATATTATTTGGGGGTTGTGACAATTTTATAGTACTTATGTAGAATATTCTTTTTCTCAAGAGATCAAGTTGAAAGTTTTTGTTTGTTTGTTTTGTTTTCAGAGACAATGTATTGTTCTGTAGTCCAGGCTGGCTTGATCTTGCTATGTATCGCAAATTGGCCCCAAAGTTGTAACTCTCCTGCCTCAGACTGCCAAGCTCTGGGATTATGGGCATTTTTTTTCCATCTGTTTGTTTTGAGACAGGGTCTCACTATGTAGTTGAGATTAACCTGGAACTCACTATGTAGCTCTGGCTGGTCTCAAACTCAGAGTGATTTTCCTGCCTCAGCCTCCTGAGTGCTGGGATTATAGGCATGCGCCACCACTCCTGGTGGTTACTATGCTTAATTTGATGCTGAAATGTTTAGAAGCTTGCCACTTCTTTTCAAAGAATTCAGCAAAAACACAGATAAAGCACATATGTGCAAGTGTAAACAACTGGTGATGTAGGTAAAGAATGTATAGAAGCAACTTTCTTTCAAATTATTTATGGGTTAAAACATTTCTTATCTGCCTGATTGTAGGAACAATTTTTTTTTGTGGTACTAGGGATTGAATTCTGGGCCTTTGCACTGAGATATACCTTCAGCTCTGTTTTTTTTCCAGTACCAGGGATCGAACTCAGGACCTTAAACTTACCCGGCAGGCACAGCTCCACTGAGCTAATCCTTGCCCCATTTTTGTGTTTTTTTCTTTAAAGACAGGATCTTAGGAGGTTGCTAAATTACCCAGGCTGGGCTCAAACTTGCAATCCTCCTGCCTTAGCCTCTCAGAGTGCCAGGATTACAGGTGTGCAACACCACACTGGCTGGTAGTAATAATGTATTTTAATTTTAAATTTTCTTTATTTTCCCAACATTATAGAAATGTGACAAAAATAATAAGATTTTGTTATTTATCCTCTTCTACACTCATATTAGCCACAGATATATTTTTGTCCTCAAGATTTTTAAAAATGTACATTATGGTTTGGATCTTAAATATTCCTGAAGCTCATAATCTGAAGGCATGACTTCCAACTCATGCACTGTTGAGAGGCTGTACATTCTGAGGAGATGGGAACTAGCTGGAGGTAGTAGATCCTTGGGGGCTCTGTTTGGACTTCAGCCTCCTCTCTGTCTGTCTGCTTCTGGGCCACCATACAGTGAGCAGCTACCCTTTACCATGCTCTTTCACCATGTTGTACTGCCTCGTCTGGGGCCAGCCTAGAAACAATGGAGTCTCCTACCCATGGATTGACATCTCTGAAATTGGGAACTAATATAAATCTTTTCGCCTTTATGTTGTTCTTCTTAGGTATGCTGACACACTGACAACGATGAACACAATGTATATGCTACCATTTCTTGATATATTGTTCTATGTCATTATACAGGGTGCCACAGCAGTGGCTACATGGATGGATCCTAACTAATTTTACCAATCCTCCCTTACAAAATAAGATGTATCAAGAAACACTGCTATACTTGCTAGCTGCAGTGTTGAAGGTTATGCTGGTTTTTTGTTTGATAACAATTCTGTTTGCTTTCCACCAACTGTAAACGAATCACTCTTCTACTGAGGTGTTATAGAAAACCTGTATACTCATACCTCTATCAATATGAGGTAAGTATCAGTTACTTAATTTTTACCAACCTGATGGTGAAAAGTGCAACATACATGCTCTGGGTGTTGTGACACACACCTGTAATCCCTGCACTTGGGACACTGAATCGGGATGACCATGAGTTCAAGGCCAGCCTGGAATGCATAGTGAGACCCTACCTCAAAAAAAAACAAAAAAAAAAAACAAAGCAAAAACAAACAAACAAAAACAAAAAAACCAGAAATGCAGATTATTATTTTTTGAGACAGGATCTTGCTAAGTTGCCCAGGTGGGGTTGAACTTGTGATGGTCCTGCCTTATCCTTCCAAGTGCTGGGATTCTAGGTGTGTGCCATTGCACTCTGTAAGGTAGTTCTGTTTTTAAAAATGCATATTATTAAGTGCAAGAAGCCAATTTAAAAAGGCTTAATGCTGTATGATTACAACTCTATTACATTTTTTTGGGGGGGGTACCAGGGATCAAACTCAGGATCCCTACGAGGCAGGTGGCAGCACCACCGAACTAAATTGCTGGCTGTAACTCCATTACATTGTAGAAAAGATAAAACTATGAAGACAGGTCCTAGGGGTTGGGCAAAAGGAGGGCTGAATGGGTAGAACACAAAGAATTTTTATAGCAAGGAAACTGTTCTACATGATAACACCATGGTGGGTGCATGTCATCATACATTTGTCAAACCCATGGAATAGGTCTCATCAAGAGTGAGGGCTAGGGATGAATAAGAGCATCTGAGTAGCATGTATAAGGCTCTGGATTCAATTCCAGTTACTATTCACTGGTTGTAACAAATACTGCTCCAGTGCAAGACGCTGATAGTGGTGGAGGCTGCACCTTAGGGGGCAGGGCTCTATGGGAAATCTCTGTGCCTTCTGTTTAGTTTTGCTCTGAAAACATGAAGTGTTTTTTTAATTTTTGGTACTGGGGATCGAACTCAGGACCTTTCACTTGCAAGGCAGGCATGGTTCCACTGAGCTATATCCCTGGCTCGAAATGCTTTTTTTTAAAAGAGTAGTTCTTATTTGCTTTAAATTTCATAGCCCTGCAATTCATCTCCTTTGCTCAGTTTCTATTGGATTTGTACCATATTTAGAAATGTCTTTTCTACTTTCAGATTAAAAATACAAAATATTTTATGTCACCATGTAACCTGATCTTCAAAAGAATGAACTTCATATTACTCATCATGCAAAGGCTTAAAAGGGTACCACTATCCACTGGTTGTCAGCGAGGGATGATTTTGTGCCACAGGGGGCAATAGCCATGACTAGAAATACTTTTGGTCAGCACAACAGTGGGTAGAGGCTACATGGTGCTACTTTACTTTCTGTAGTACACAGGATAGTCCCTCCTTCCACCTCCACAAAGCATTATACAGTCCAAAATGTCAATGATGAAGAGGTTGAGAAAACCTGCTCCAAATCATTTCTCCTCCCTGGCTATTCCGTTACCCTTGTTTCAGTGTCTGTATATCAGAGAACATAGGAAAGATTAAGGTAGATGGGAAGGAAGGAAGGAAGGAAGGAGAGAAGAGAGAAGAGAAGAGCTGAATCGGATAAGGTAAGTTTGTTATGTGTTGGGGATCTAACCCAGGACATCATCCATGGCATGTTAGCCATGTGCCTTCCCACTAAGCTACATTCCCCCAGGGAAATTTTGGTTAAACTGGAAAATAATTTTACCCCATTTGTACTATTCTTAGTTCAGTTCCTCTAATTCCACTCCAAAAGCTCAAATTTAACACTACTTTATAGACTACCAAAGAAACAAGA